CACCCATCGGCGATGTGCATCACTGTTTGACGGTCGGCGAAACAGGCTGGACTCCATTTAACCATTCTGCATAACTCTTTGTCATTGAGCACAATGTTCGTCATAGGCAAAACACTTTGTCAGATGGTCATAATGCTTCGACATTTCACAAAATGGTTAGTCAATGTGCAAAATTCATCGGTACTGTGCGTAAACAATGACTGTTTATTTAAAACTTTCGTCAATGATCAAAATGTCAATGATGTAGTGCTTATCTAGCCATATTCAATGTTTAACGTTAATCACGCATTCAGGGATGAGGCTTATGACAGTTCCAGCGCAATTTGCAACCAATTAACCATTGAATTCCGAAAAAGGCAGTTATACCATAGAGCTACGAGGAGACTGCCGGCGCCATACCGAGTAGGCATGTAGATTCTTGAGCGTCGGACTCCTAAACGCTTCGATACAAACCACGAAGTCGGCCGTCATTATCGCGTCACTGCCCGTGCGATGTCATGGGACAACGCCTCGGGCGGCCGCGCCGGTCGGACTCGCGAGGGAATGGCTGACAGATGGCAAGCCGGGCCCTGCCGGCCGGACACCTTGGTTTTGGGGGCGGGGCTGACTTATCCAGCCTGTTGCCTGTTCCTTGGTGTTTGAGGCGGGGTTAACTTATCCAGCCTGTTGCTCTGTTGCCTGTCCATTCTTCAATCAGCCGATAACATGTCAGCTACGTCCATCTACATTGTACCTATGGCGTTCATGAACGCTACCGATTTTTATGTAGATCAATGGTCTACGAGTTTCGCCACCTATGCCTCGCACTGCACTGTATAAACCCGGTCATATTTATACTTCTCTGTAAAGGGGCGATCTGTTTTTAGTTTTGACGAAATGTTATGAGGAATGCCGAAATTAGCATGGGGATGTTTTGGTGAACGACGAAGGGATATTAACGAATGACGAAGCATTTATCCAAATCGTCAAAGGTTTTGCCGGAACTCAATCAGTTATGTCGAATAGCGAATGTTATACCAACTGACGAACTGTGGAGTGGGATCAGCATTCCGTTTTGCCCATATGCTGAAGGTTTTGCCGGAATGCCTCTCACTGGCGCCACCTATGTGCTGATCGGACGAATGGGTTTTGCTGATTGGCCATCGAACAACGCAAAAAGGTGTAGTTTGGTACCCTCGACCCTCGTAGATATAGCTACAGACTGAGACATTCTGCAGTCTCACGGTGAGGCGTGATATATCCTAACGGGTAGGGTGACGCTGGGCAGGAAAATGCCTTTTTAGTATTGAATGTGTTATATTTTTCCATGAAATTGAATATAATAATCGGGCGACAAATCCTCCAGATTTTCCTCCAGAATCAAAAATCCTCCAAAAGCGAAATTTGTCCGCAAATAGAGTTCAAAATCCTCCAGATTTGCGGAAATCCTCCAAATCTGGCAGCACTGGCTCTGCTCGCGCGCCGACGCGCGACCGCTTCCCGCCACAGCCGGGAACACGAGGGCTGTTCACGACGTCGGTTTATGTGGTTTACATAAACTGCCCTCGGGGCACGTTCCCGGCTGTGACGTCACATGGTGTTTACGTTTACGAAACACAAATGTTTACGAAACACAGTGACAACTAATAAGCAGTTGAGAGTTGAGACGATACTGTAAAAGTTGCAAATAAAAGATAATCTGATGGAAAAATGTCTCATAAGTCATGACATATTGCAAGAATAATGACAGTTTTCACCACAAAATACCCACGACGCCAGACGCTAGTTAGCAGAGTACGATGCTCAAAATAGGCATTAATTTCAATGAAATAATGAAATCTACCATTCCAGACCTCTGCAAGGTTGTTTAAAACTCATTTACCCACCTACCAGCCCCAGAACTATCCGAATTCAAATTTCCTAACTCACAACTCGCCTCACGAGTTTGCCGCATATCGCCATAATTGTCACATTAACGCGTTTACGCGCCATGTTGATGCTCGGAGGCATCAACCGCATAAACGGTTTACGGCGGAGGTCTGACGTCATTGACGGGATGTGACGTCAGGATCAGGTCGACGCTGATTGGTGCTTCAAAAAATAAACATGTTTACGGTTTATTAAACGGGATAAACCGACGTCGTGAACAGCCCTACGATTTAGCCGTGCATCCTTCACGGCTCTCGGCCACTAAATAATATTATACCTACTTACATATACTTGGTAAATGGTTTTTTGTACGTTGAGTGTGAGTTTGTTTGCTTGAAGCCAAATGGATACAGCTTCAAGTTCTTTATTCATATTTTCTTGTAGTTCCTGTGTATTTTCACCTTCAAAAAGTAAGGCTGTGTCATCAGCATATAGAAGGCATTCTGATTTTTTGCATACGTTTTTTAAGTCATTTATGTATATAAGGAAGAGTAAGGGGCCTAGGATAGAGCCTTGGGGCACTCCTAGCTTAATACTTTGAAAAGAGGATCTAGTACTTTTAAATTCTACACATTGTTGTCTGTTTGTGAGATATGACTTGATAAAGTGAAGAGCACGACCAGTAAATCCGTATTTACGACATTTGCTGATGAGTATGTTGTGGTTCACTGTATCAAATGCTTTTTTAAGGTCAATGAATACCGCTGAGGACATTTTCCCATTTTCCATGCTTTTTGTTATTCGTTCTTGCAGGAGTACTATAGGCATGTATGTTGATAAGGATTTTTGAAAGCCAAATTGATCCTTACATAATATGTCATTCTGTATGAGGTATGCATTGATTCTCTGGTGTACAATCTTTTCTAGAAGTTTGGAAAGATAGGGAAGGATACTAATGGGTCTATAGTTGCTAAATATATTTTTACTTCCAGATTTGTATAATGGCTTCACCACAGCCATCTTCATACTTTCAGGAAATGTTCCAGTACTCAACGATATGTTTATTAAATGAACCAATTGACTGAGTATTGCTGAATATGTATTTTTGAATATTTTTGAATTGATGTTGTCAATACCAGCACCAACATTTTTCATATTTCTTATCATGGAGTCTAATTCTGCAGAATTTGTTGGGTGAAAATGATCAAATGTGTTTTCACTGGAAGTGACACTATCCAGGGGATCAGTTCTGGTATTTGGGATTTCTTTTTCAAGCTTCTCACCAATTGATATGAAAAAATTGTTAAATAAGTGAGCTACTTGCTTGGTGTCTTCAATGGGATTTCCATGCGCATCACTGAAAGCAGTAGATACTTCAGATTTTCTAGGATTCTTATTTATACAACTGTTGAGTAGTTCCCACATTTTCTTTGAATTTGTCTTATGAAGCAATAATTGTTCCTGAAAGTACTTTTTCTTCGCTTCCCTTATCAAGCCATTGAGGCAGTTTCTATGTCTTTGATAGGCAAGTTTGTTTCTATTTGTAGGATTCTTTGTTTTTTCTCTATATAGAGTGCTACGGGTATTTATTGAGGTGAGAATTGCTGAAGATATCCAAGGTTTTATGGCTGTTGTTTTCCTAGTACACTTCCTCTTAATGCTAAACAATGCTATGCCTGAAGAGTATGCATTGATAAGTGTATCAGCTGCAGTATTTGCATCAGGGATGGTATGGAATGTTGAGAGCTGTTGGGATAGGTATTCTTGTAGTTCAGTGACTTTGTTATAATTGAAGGTGGTAATCCAATTGTCTTCAGGTGGGTTGATTTTTTTAGTACAGCATGTGAATATAGGGAAGTGGTCAGAAAAGTCATCATATATGATGCCAGAATAGGACAAGAGCTCAAGGTTATTGCAAAAAAATATTATCAATCAGTGACCATCTGTCCTCCGAGACTCTTGTTGATTTTGAAATTGTTGGCCAGTAGCTGTGAGAAGTCATGATGTTGAAGAATTCTAGACATGCACTGTCCTGTTCAATATTGTGTAAGTCAAAATTGAAGTCACCAGCAATAAATGTTGATTTATTCTTTTTCTCAATCTGTTCAAGAGAGGCTGTGAGTTCATCTAGAAACAAGTTGTTTACCAAATCAGGAGGTTTGTATATAATGCCAACAATCACTCCAGTTATGCTTGTTATTTGACATTCAATAAAAAGGGATTGGGTGCATGACATTGTGCTTAATTTTATATCACATGAGGATTTAACATATTTATCATTGACATAAATTGCAACTCCTCCTCCACTCCTTCCGACCCTGTTGTTGAAGTATCCTGTGAAACCAGGAAGCTGATGACTATTTACTGATTCATTTGATAACCATGTTTCCGAGACACATATGAAATGCCATGTACATTGTGTTCTTTGTAGGAAAAGCTGGAATTCATCAAATCTGTCATTAGATGAAATAGATCTGGCGTTAACATGCAGGATACTGAGTTGGTTGAGGTCAGGAGTAGTTTTCAAATTTTGTGTTTGGGGAAGGGAGAAATATTTGCATGAAGATCTCAGTTCTTCAAATTTTTCATGAGTCAGGTGCAGATCAGATGATGCTAATCTTTGGAAGGGATTAAATATTATAGTATCAAGAGATCCATTTGAATCAGTACATTCTACTAGATTCATTCAAGTATGGTATGTCTAATCTAACAGAAAATAGCACAATCAATGTCCAGCACCTCACCAGTTCGACGCAACAAGCGCCTCTTGGCTGGCGTTGAAACGAGGCGGACTAACCCATGTGAGGGAAGCCCAAGGCTGACTATTTTCATTATTTGATATGGAAAAAGTCACGTGACTTTATAGTAATGAATGTTCGTTGCATTTGTTTTTAATAACTTCATACCAAGCATAGAACATCATGGCAAGAAGATTCATTTGTATTTTGTTTTATTTGTTTTTAGGTTATTTGTGATTTGCATTGTTTCAACTTTGGCAAGAAAAAAACTTGATAAGGTCACGTGATAATCCACGGTAACTCATGTATTTTGTTTGTATCATTTGAAGGTTATTTTATGAATGAAGTTAGCACGTGGTTTCCATACTACCTACTCATTGTTTACGTTTGCTTGTGGTGTTTGAAGGTCAGAGTGAGCGAGAGAGTGAGAGAATACGAGGGGGAGGCGTGTGGAAACATGTAGGAAAGGAGTCATTTTGTGATGTGGTGAGTTTCATTGGGTAATGAAACGTGAGAAACGTGACAGGCAATGAGTATCAGTGCAGCATTGGATAAATTTTAGGTAAACACAAATCCAGGCTAGCAATATTGAAGATAAGTGAAATATTTTATTTCCTTATTGTGATTAGCCATTTCCGATTGGACACACCATCACTGGTCAACAGGCAACAAATCATCACAATTTGCACACAAATTGAAGTGCTAAATTGACATCAGTTATTGTACTTTTTGTTGCTATTCCATTTTGATTTTGTTTAACATACATGCTAGTGATCACAAGCTGTGTTGTTGCTATGATTTTGTAGGTGTTTATGAGCATGCTGTTGAGGAAGCAGATGTCATGAGACAGCCCATCTTATGAAGTAGTTGATGTTGCTGTTAATTACAACCAATACCTGCCTCCGGCTCCATGTCGTTTTCATTGTTATTTGTTACGATGTCTGTCTTTTCACACCAATTAGTATCATAACATAACTCCATGTCAACTGTCAGGTGCTGGTCCAGGAGCAACCCAGTAACTGATATACTGTGAAGTTGTAACAGTCAGAAATTCCAATGATAGCAAATAACTCCTCCAGTCTCCATGTTAAAATAGTTAAAACGACCTTTCTGCCAGGTTCAGGTGATTTGTCACCACATTCATCCATCCACTCACACAATCATTCCACCCACATCCACGCAGCTCCAATAGCACCCTGGCAGAGCTGGCAGATGTAGGCCTGGAGGGTTCTGTCAGATCAAAGTGATCAATTAGGTGAGAGGATCAGTTAATGAGAGCTCCAGTAAAGGGACCAGCATTATCATGACAGACCAGACAAGGGTATCCGATGTGAGGTGCAGACAGTGGGTTGGAGCTCAGAGCTGTATGGTAGGCAGTATTGTAACCATTCATAAGCAAGCCGTCCCAAGCATACTGCACCAAAACAGTGTCATATTTCACAGTATGACATGTTTTATTATGTTTGGTAAGTAGGCATTACTAATTGTACTTGCTATTTTTGATATTTTGAGTGACAAGTTTATTGTACTATGCAATATGCATAACATGTACTTTGTGATGTGCTGCAATATTTGTATCATGCAGTATTTGTATTTGTATTTGTGTTCTTTCCATTTGAAACTATTTCACACATTTCAAAGACCAGATATCAGGCATGCCCAATCAAAAATGACTCATTCAGAAAGCTAGGGATTTGTATATTCTACTGCTCAGTCTGAGACTTCTTTGCCTGTCGAGTCTGACGTGCGGAAGGGACCACGTAGTCTTCAAGGTTGGTAGCTTTTCGTGCGACGGATCCGGGTGGGATGTTGAGGAGAGATTTAATGTTCTTTCTAATGGTGTTTGCGATTTGTCAATAAAATGAATACTTTTGGACTTATAGACATTTTAAGTTAGGGGTTCCAAATTTTTTGGATCACCCTGTATAAGGCGTGATAAGCTTGGTGTGGAATAGGCGGCACTCACCGAGCACGGCGCATGCCTCATTTCGGTGGACAGTGACTACATAGTCCAGTAGCTTCCTTTGTGCCAAACTTGTATCAGTTTCAGACATGTGCATGGATCCGAGAAAATGGATCTGGGATATGATCCCACCGATCTTGATCTTGGACCCGGTTCCCGATGGGATCATAGATCTAACTCTAATTTATCAAGATCCATCCGGATCATAGGTCAGTACGAATACCCGACTGACCTGACCTAACCTGATCCGACCAGGCCTAAATGCATGAGGGCATCATCTGTGATCAAAACTACCATGTTATTTGTGATCAGCATAGCATAACAGCCACACTTCACGACATTCTAACAGGTCCCGATTTTCCCGGCTTTAGGGTCAATGACCTGACCTGGAGAAGGTCAACCAATGACCTAGGGGCTAGGACCTTAAACTTACCCCGCGTTCGATGTCTCTCGGACGACAAAGATTCTACGTCGTCCGGCCAATCCCGTCCAAGGTCAGCGGGGGCTCGGCTGCGGTTATGGAACGTGATTGGCCGGACGGCGTAGAATCTTCGCCGTCCGAGAGACATCGAACGCGGGGTAAATCGGCTTGCTATCGTCACGAGCAACACGCTCGTTTTTTCCACAAAGCGCATTCTTTCGGGAGGCTTCGAGCGGGAAGGGCGTGGCCCTTTGTCAAGGATTTTTGGCGCGAAAACGGTGGAGCGTCGGAGCGTCGGAGTGCGGAAGACATTGTAGGCTATTGATTTTTCCTGTTCAAAGTTCAGTGAAGCTATATTGGTGCTTTTCAGTGAGTACTGGGTGATGGATTGAAAATGGTAGGTCGAGATCGACCTGTCAAGAGAGGTAGGCCAGACGAGCTGTTTTTCCCAGAGCCTGACAAGGCTGGTTCGTATCTCAGGATCGCTCTGAGTTCGGGGAATTCATTTCGTTCCAAAGGATGGCCCTGGATTCAGGCAGGTGTGAGGGGAATCCTGGGAGCTGTGGAGAAGTTGGATAAAGCCAACTTTTTAGCAGACGGTTGTCTGCTCGTTAAAACAAAAACACAAAAACAGACGGAAAGGTTCCTCAAAGCAACCATCTTTGGGGATGAACAGTGTGAGGTGGTGAGAGATGCAAAGCTGAATCAATCACGCGGTACCATCAACGCATATGACCTTATTGACCTCTCAGAGACTGAGATAGTTGGCTGGCTGGAGGAGTATGGTGTGGTGGGAGCCAAAAGGTTCACTAAAAAGCTCAATGGAAAGGTGGAGAACACCCCAACACTGCTCCTGACATTTAACCAGCCAACCTGTCCTCAGAAACTTCAGCTGGATTATGTGACGTACCATGTCCACCAATATGTACCCAACCCACTGATGTGCTACAGATGTGGCCTTTTTGGACACTCTGAAGCCAAATGCACAAGGGAGGCCCGCTGTCTTCGCTGCGGGAAACCAAAGCATGATGGAGAATGTGAAATGAAATGTCTAAACTGTGAGAAACCGGGACACACATGTCTGTCAAGGGAATGCGATGCTTGGAAAAAAGAGAAAGAGATTTGCAGAATTAAAACTGAGCAGGATATCTCATACCCACAGGCCAGGAAGGTGTATGAAACAAACTATGACAAACCCCGTTCCAGTCCTCAGACATATGCCACCGCAATTCGCACTCCCAGTGTGATGAGCAAAAAGGAGGCCGAGCTGACTGACAAAGTTAACAAACTAGAGTCAAAGATGAGTGAGATGATTGAACTGCTGAAACAACTTGTACCCAAAGAAATATTACAGGGGAATGCTGTGATTGAGGGTAAGGAGACAGCTGACAAACAGAGATCTGGAACAGCATCCAAAGCAGCCCTAGATAGTCCTGTGGAGACACTGGATATGAGGGACACTCGGGCAGATGAAAGAAATGTTACTGATGATGCCATGGATGATGGGGGTGCGGCTGGAGTGTCGCCCTGTGATGGTGAGGGGGCGATCCATGTGACAAACATTGGGAATGAGCCACATCCTCGAGGGGAGGGCAAACTAGCTCAGTGGAAAGTTGCAGGAAAAACAAAACGTGCTGACAAACATCAGGGACAACTGATCTCAGGTGATGAGATCGACCCTTCACCAGTGTTCACTCGAGCGAGTAGATCGCTGGACAGGGGTAAAAAGCAATACGTACAAAGAAAGTCTTGGGAGAGAAGACAGTGATCTAGCTCTACGTTTACAGACTACAGCCTACTAAACTAAGCCGTTTTTAGTTTAGTTTTTCAGAGCCAACCTTTTTCAACAAAAGCCTCTAGCTACTCTTAGCCAGTCCGCTAGGGACTTCCATACATCCACGTACTACACACTCCTCATGTCTATTCTGCAATGGAATGCAAGAGGATTGATTGGGAAATGGGCCGAATGCAAATTCTTTTTAGCACAGAAATCACCTCTGTGCATATGCTTACAAGAAACACGGTTTCGTGACAATGACCGATATGATTTTACAATCCCTGGATACAGTTTATACACAACAAATTGCAATGCTGAAACAAGGCAAGGTGGCGTGGCACTTTATGTCTTAAACACTATACCTCACTGTGAAATAAAACTCCAAACCACTCTGCAAGCAGTGGCTTGCCATGTGAACATCAATAATAAGAGATTGGTTGTATGCTCACTGTACCTCCCTCCAAATGTGCCTTTCACTGGCACAGAGGTAGAGCAACTTATCCTACAATTAGAAACTGACTATGTGATATGCACAGACGCCAATGCAAAACATGCCCTTTGGGGTTCACCACACAATGATAGGAGAGGCAGGATACTGGCAGATCTTGTGGCTCAATATGATCTACATGTACTCAATGATGGATCAGGAACCCGCTTGGATGTATATACTGGAGCAATGACCCACATTGACGTTACAGTGTGCACAACTAATCTGGCACCACTCCTAGGATGGAAGGTGCAAGGTGACAATCGGTGCAGTGATCACTTCCCTATTGACATATTGCCATCTTTCTGCACATCCACACCGGACAGCTACCCCAGCTGTCGACTGCGCTGGTCTGTCAGACGTGTGGACTGGAAGGCTTACAGCAGAGAATGTGAACTCAAGGTCTCATCTGCTGAGCCCCACAATGTATGCTCAATGGTTACCCAAACTATTTTAGACTCTGCTAGAAAGCATGTACCACAGATAAGCAGGCAGAGCCCTAAACGATCTAACATGTGGTGGAATGATGAATGTAAGAGGGCGGTTGCCAGGAGGAAGCGTGCTCTCCTTCGATACAAACGCTGTGTGTGTCCCGCTCACTTGCTTGATTTGCAGCGGGAACGAGCTGTTACCCAACGCGTACTGCGAACTGCCAAGAGAGAGAGTTGGATCCAGCATATCAACTCTTTTACATCGTCTACACCGCTGTCCAAAATTTGGGGCATGATTCGCGCCTTTGGCGGCAAACCAACGAGCTCTCACTCATTACCAGTTCTTGTTCAAAATGGTCGGCGTTATGATAGCCCTGATGAGGTGACTGCCATATTTGGGAATTACTTTTCATCCCTCAGTGACTCCACTAACCACAGACCGGCCTTCCAGGCTCGGGCTCGTGAGTTACAAGAAATGACATTTGACTTCACGAGCAACAACACTGAGACATATAACAGTGAGTTTACTATGGCTGAACTTGACACAGCTTTGGGACATTGCGGAGCTACGTCTGTCGGCCCTGATGGTGTCCACTACTTTTTTCTTGAGCACCTCAGTCCAACATCTAAGAAAGAGCTTTTAAAGATGTTCAATATCATATGGGCGAATGATGTTTTTCCCCAAGAGTGGAAGAAATCGTACATCATCCCCATCCACAAGAGTGGCAGACCACGAGAATTAGCATCATCTTATAGACCCATCCAACTCACTTCTAACATATGCAAAACCCTTGAACGCATGCTGAATGCTCGGCTTTTGTGGTATCTGGAATCACAGAATATCCTCTCGCCGTATCAGTCTGGCTTTCGAAAAGGACGACAATGCCTTGACAACACTGTGCGATTAGAAACCGACATCAGATGTGGATTTTACTTGCGGTTTTACACAGTTGCTGTTTTCTTGGACATGCATTCGGCTTATAATATGGTTTCTGTTCCTGCCCTCCTTCAGAAACTTGAGAATATAGGTCTCCGAGGACACTTGCCGATCTTCGTCAAGAATTTTCTGTCTGGTCGTTCATTCCGAGTCGACTGCAAAGGTTTGTCAGATGAATTTCGTCAAGAGAATGGTGTGGTGCAGGGTGGGGTCTTATCACCAACCTTGTTTCTCCTATTCATCAATGATATATGCCACCACTTACCACATGGTGTCAGTTACTCTCTTTTTGCCGATGACTGTGCAATTTGGGCACAGGGGTCGGACTTATCTGCGGTCCTCGCTAAGTTACAGAGAGCGCTTGGCTGTCTAGAGAGATGGACTGACAGATGGGGCATGACTTTCTCGGGTCAGAAGTCCTCTGCTATTATTTTCAGCCGTTATCGCACTCGGCTGCCCCCAGATCGCACACTGTCCATTCAAGGTGTTGATATCCCTTATGTTGACCATGCACGCTTCCTAGGAATTGTCTTCGACTCCCGGATGAACATGAAGCAACATATTGAGCATGTGAAAACAAAGGTTATTAAACGACAGAGCTTGTTACAGTGCATTTCTGGGGTAGCACATGGTGGAGACAGGAAAACTATGCTTCGTCTTTACAAAACACTCGTACGACCAGTGATAGACTATGGCTCACAGGTATACGACGGTGGACCGGCAGGGATGCTGAGAAAACTTGAACCGCTTCAAAATAGGTTTATCAGACTCGCGACGGGAGCGTTCCGCACCACTCCCATTCCAGCTTTGCTTGCCGAGGCAAATGTCTATCCACTCTGGTTACGGAGAGTCGAGCTGACAATAAGATTTTCTGTGAGAGTCCGAGGGGACCTCAACCACCCAGCGTACACGGCCATGCAAAAGATGAGTTACCTGTATGATAGAAACCGTGATGTACCTCCGAAAAGGTCTGGTTTTCCCATTGGTGCCAGAGTACAGCGCTATCTTGATCGGCTGCGGGTTGCCTTACCGATACCCACTGCGCGCGCTCTTTTGCCGATTCCACCGTGGACTCTCAAAGGGCCCCAATACACACATCTTCCAGTGTCCTCCAAGAATTTGTGCACTCCAGCTGAGTTACGGGCGAGCTTTTACCAGACTATTGCGATGTACCCTGATTTTACCATCTTTTTCACGGATGGGTCCAAGCAGAACCTAAACACCGCATGTGCTTTTGTCTTTGAACATGTTTACTTCGACGATCGCTTACCAGATGACACCAGTGTGCACTGTGCTGAACTGTTTGCCATCCTACGAGCTCTACAGTATATCGTTTCTCGCAGAGTTCCCAGAGCCATTGTCTGCAGTGACAGCAAATCGGCACTGCAGAGTCTCACAAATACTGGTAACTCGAGGTCCGTGGTGAAGGACATCCAGATGACCTTACATGAAATAGACCAAAATCATCAGGATGTCCTCCTCATGTGGATTCCAGGCCATGTTGGAATACCTGGAAATGAAATGGCAGACAGTCGCGCTAAACAAGCACTGACTAAAGAGGACATCACACCCATGCCCCCCGATTACAAAGATATACTGCCCATGCTCAGACGATCTGTTGCAAATTGGTTTTCCAGGTCGTGGAAGGACAGTGGACCGACTTTCCTTAAAGCGATTAAACCTGACACCGGGGAATGGGAATCATCAAACCGAAAGTCAAGAAGGGAAGAGGTTGCCCTTGCTCGGCTTAGACTAGGGCATACTAGACTGACCCATAGCGGGCTCTTCAACAACTCGAGATTTGAGTTATGCACAACATGCAACAGCCCATTAAGTGTGGTACACATCATTTTACACTGCCGCAAGTACACAATGGACAGACGAAACCTCAGACGACTATGTACTACAATGAATGTTTCTTTCGATCTAACACATCTCCTGAGTGATGAATATCCGGTTCTCATAGAGGCAGTCTGTGATTACCTTCGGAGAACCCAACTGCTAGAACAACTATAGCAGAACGACCTCATCATGGTTACACATACTACACACAGATGGTTATCCCACATGTTGAAACTCATCATACTCCTACTCTCTCTTTCCCATCCTCCATGTCCTTCATGCTCCTGTCAGTCCTAAATTCCTGGTATACCTGTCTCACATTCCCCAGACTCGATTATGACCCACTGGCTTTAGCCAGGCTTTCCAGCCCCGAAGAACAGCAAGACGAATAAGAAGAACCGACGCTAATAGTCAAGTCTGACTGATGCGTCGTTTAACAACCAAGAAAACAAAACAAACAATTTTCCACAAAGCTCTAGCTCGATCAGGGGCCAAACGGCAATGGTCCGTTCAATGGGGGTCCAACGGACCCCCCCCCCCTTTACGGGCGTTCGCGGCTGGTTTAACACCGATACGGGCGAGGGTTAATTTATCGTCGGGGATCTAATGAGAGCTAATATCCTAAGGTGTCGTTTGCTTTTGTGATCCACTGAGAGCATGTATTTGGATAGCAGGGATCCGTCCCTGGGAGCTCTGATCCGTACATGCCTGATATCATTTGATGTTGATCTTTGTTGATCAATTGTCATTGGAGCTTCTTTCTGATCAATTGAATTTGTTTTAAAAGTAACAGCTAGGAAGCAAAATAATGCAACAAATTAAGAAAAGACGCATCGCATGTTCTTCATACGTGCCTACACAGTTAATTTAATTTAGTAGCAGTTTACTGCATTGAGTTGTCACAGCTGCGCATTATCTGTCGACCCCTCAGCCTATTGTGCGCTTTGTATATTGATGTAATGGTTGCGACCAAGTTGCGACGAGCGCGCGGGAAACCCCGTATTTCAATTTATTTTCTTTCAGGTGGGATATCTGGGTTTCATCTGTAATAAGTGAATGAGGACTTAACCCCGTCACAAGAAATCGTTCTAGTAGGAGCTGAGCAGGTCAAATTGTATTTCTAAAACTTTGTTAGTGTTAGCGAGTCGTAATCGTAAATCGAAATCGGGTTCTGGGGTATCCCGTAGGTAACGGTCGCAAAATTGACCTAAATTTACCTCAATTTCATGACCGATACCCTGAAGCCGATTTGGATTTTGACTCGCTAACAAAGTTTTGTAAACCAAATTTTAAAGCTTCGACCCGAACAAACCACAATTCACAATCCTCACAAAAGTCCTCTAGATAAAAGTCCTCACAACATTACCCACTGGAACAGGCTAATGTGACAATGCTGATATGTTTATATTTGACATGTTACAGGCTTTGTCATGGCTTCTGCAGAGCAAAACCAGTCTGAGGTACCGACTCCAAATGATGCGCCACCACAGAATGGCATTCCACTGGTGCAGTTTTCTGAGAAACCATCGCTGGAAGAAATGTGAGTAGATTAGTCCTATGATGCATGTTAAAGGATGGCTGCTACAAACAGCTCTGTAACAATGAATTGTTCAGGATTGTGTTATCCCATTTGTTAGAGATCATTTACAGATGATATGTATGGAAGTTGGAACCTCTTCCAAGCTTTAGGCTGTGAAGTGGTATCTGATGGAACATCAGATGCAGTATCAGACATCAGTGCACAGACGGCACCCAGATATTGGTGAGCGGCCCACGCAACAACATCAGGAGTCTCATCTTGCGCATGGAGGCATCCCTAGCGACTAGCGTCACTTAACGCATGGTTCTGCGCACACGCCCTGAAAGTCAATGCTTCTAAAAGCTAAAGCTCAACTCATGGTATTCAGCCGACAAAACCTACGTAACCTGCCTCGCTTCAAAATTGCTTCAAAATTTCATTCCGTGACGCTGAGCTCCAGCCGTGCGCGCAGGCTGGAAACCTGGGCGTTGTATTCGACGGCGCACTCACCTGGGAAGCACACGTAGTCGTGCTGAGCCGTCGCTGCATGGGCGTACTGATCTGCCTCTCCCACGCACGACACTCCCAGACGGTATCCTCAAAACGATCGTAACAAGTTTGCCATCTCGCGCGTCCAGTTCTGCCCCATTGTTACCGGAAATGGCTCCCGGAAAAAAAAACTTCGACCGGCTTAAAAAAATTATGAACTTTGCAGCACGGGTCATATTCGGCCACCGTAAATTCGACCACATGTCTGGCCTCCGCGACTCGCCAATATGGAAATATTGTGAAAATGTGACAAATGTGACAATGTAATTCGCTGAAGCAGTGGCAATAAAGACCACAAAACTGTCCGATAAAGCCGAGTTATCTTGACTTATATTTGCTTCGCTATGTTCTCATCCCTATCACCATTTAAACAGTTAAATGCCTTCACGACGCTTACCACAGTGTACTTTGTGTTGTGTCTCTCTTGTAATGTTGACTGACTGTTTTGTATGTCTATGTGTCAGACGGTCGCAGATGCAGGAGTTTGCCTCGGAGCGGGACTGGAACCAGTACCACACGCCACGTAACGTCCTGCTGGCCCTGGTCGGCGAGGTGGGCGAGCTCTCGGAAATATTGTGAGTCACCAGCGCCTCTGTGAAAGGCGTACTGTAGATATAGATTGTTCGTAATCATAGGAGGTCGATGCGTACTTTTTAGCATGGTTAACTGTAAGTTGGAGGCTTGTATTAGTCAAAATACCTTCCAATCTTTCTTGGTTCAACATTTATCTGATTATCACTGTCTTGGTTAAGCTTAGCCGAAAACTATTTGGCGATTATTCATATGATGTTCATCGTGCTGCTGCACTCATTTATCGAAAATATGTCATACAAATAAATTCACATTAATTTTTATTATTTAGCAATGCCCGTAAAATCAAGTAATGCGCATTGACTCTACTCTTGTATCTTGGGTAATTTATTTATTTTCCTATTGTGCCCTCTAGCTAGGTGTACCCCAGCTGTTCTCCCGGTCGGTCCCCACCCAGTAACCCCTCTGCTCGGTACCTCAGCTGATGTCCCGGCCGGGGTACCCCATCTGTTCCCCGGTCGGGGTACCCCAGCTGTTCTCCCGGTCGGCCCCCACCCAGTAACCCCTCCGCTCGGTACCCCAGCTGTTCTCCCGGTCGGTCTGTACAGTAACTAACCGCTCCGCTCGGTACCCCAGCTGTTCTCTCGGTCGGTCCCCACACAGTAACCCCTCCGCTCGGTACCCCAGCTGTTCTCCCGGTCGGTCTGTACAGTAACTAACCGCTCCGCTCGGTACCCCAGCTGTTCTCTCGGTCGGTCCCCACCCAGTAACCCCTCCGCTCGGTCCGTCCCGCAGTCAGTGGCGCGGCGAGGTGTCTGCCGGTCTGCCCGGCTGGTCGGCCGCCGACCGCACGCGGCTCGAACACGAGCTCTCGGACGTGCTACTGTACCTGGTGCGCCTGTCAAACGTCTGCGGCGTGGACCTGCCGGCCGCGGCCGCGCGCCAGATGGCGCACAACGCCGCCAAGTACCCTGCCGAGCGGGTGCGCGGCGACAGCCGAAAGTACGACCAGTACGACGAGTACACACGGGAACGGGAGACTCCAGACGGTGAGGAGAGCAGCTAACGACGGCTGGACGCCAAGACGCCGTGACCGCAGGTGGGGACGCGGGGACTCATTGGTAGGGGGGCGGTGAAAGGGGTGGTCGGGGTAGGAGAACAGCTAGAAACACCCCGGCGTGATGATGGCGGATGAAGTTGAAAGTGTGTGGCGGCTTCGGAGGCCGGCCAGATTCCATTGTTCCGTGATCTGGGGGTCTGAGTGCGTGTTCATTCCTTCAGTACTTGATATTGGATGTCGACTTTTTGATAGGAGAGCTCTGATGATGCTTTGTCTCGTTTCTGGTGATGTTGGCCAACAAAACCCCGCGTGAAAGTGACGTCCGAACGGCAGGTCTAGGTGATGACAACAGTCATATGGTTAATAAGGCCAATATGCGTCATTGCGATCTATCGCATAAGGTCCTTGGCTTAAAGCGGTCGGCATGACTGACTCGTAGAAAATTAACGAGTCCATACTGTCACCGGCTCTGGGCTGATCATTGGCCAAGAGACCCGACCTGAGAGGCACTAGATATGGAACCGTATGCGGCGAGGCTGCGTACCAATGATATTATGGGAATGCTGCCGTTCATTCTGAACTGTCTCATATTTGTGCTTCTTACGCGTCGGGTGGGGAGGGGAGCTTTTGTGCCCACCCTTTTCGGATGTTCTATGTCCCGTTGTCATGGAACGATATCTTCCAGACATTGTTGTAAATGTCGCAGGAGTTATCCACTACTCGCGCTTTTGATAATTGCATTTCATACTTATTCCTGTTCTCAGGGAACTAAGCTGCTCCAAAATATACATGTGCAGTACGATGATGTTTACCGAGACCACTGAGTTCTCATATGCTGTTTACTAATTCATTTTAAGTCCTGTCGATTTTTTTTACACCGACTGGTAAAGTAGACGTCTACTCGAAGTAAGGGGTACTGGTGCTTACCGCCCGTCAAGGTATCCATAGTAGTCGCCAGGCCCAAACAACACGACAAACTAACACGGTTTTTCAGCATTTTATTGGTTTTTAGTGGTTTTTGTAGACAAGTAACAATGAACAATGTTGCGGCACATATTTGGACCCTCAGACCATCCATGACGCGGCGCGGTGGTGGCGGCAGGCAGACGGGGCGCCATTGGTACCGGGACTGTGGCGCCGCTCCTCGGCCGCTCCTTCAACTAAGATGGAGGAGGCGCTGTGGCTCAGAAATCGTGCGAAGAGCGGGATGGGCGACCGTGAGGGAAAGGCAAGGGTTTGAAATTTAATGTTTTCAATACTAGGCCAGTTTTAGAAGTGATAGGACAAAGTGCGATCTGCAAAGAAATGGTGAATATCCATTGGTGTGCAGGGTAGTGCGTGCTAAAAGGAAGCGCGCCGTTCATCTGTGTGGGATATTGCGGTGCCGTGCTCTGAGATGGGTGCCAGGGTTAATCTGTCCCCGGGGTGTCATTCAGCTGCGGTGAGAGGCGCCCGTCCGTCGGCAGTTACCAGCGGGCCCGGAGCGCGATCCCGCACCTCCGACCGGGCCACTGCCGCGCCGCGTGGACCCTTAAGGCTAGGGCGCGACACGCGCAACAGCGAACACAACATCGATTGGTCCCCAGGCAACCAGCCCGTTCGGTTCGGTGGAGCGCGGCCCGGGCCGGCCGGGACCGCGGCGTGGCGGGCGGCGCGCCGGCGCGCCGCGCAGCCATTCGCGGCGCGCCGGCGGCCAGCCGGGCTCAGAGGGCGCCGCCGGCCGGCGCTGGCGAGCTGCGGGGCACGCCCACCCCCGCAGCTCACGGATATCATTCGTCCTCTTCGTTCTGGTAGCTGACGTAGCGTACCGACGCCTTGTCGTAGAGAGACTGCGGAAAGAAACAATGTTCGTCAGTGGGGAACGTAAATCACGACCTAGGAGGACATTGGACAGCGAATGTCGAACGAGCACGTTGTTTTTGGCTCTAACGACAAAAAAGCAGAATACGACCAACATACCGGAATGTGTATTCGAGTTATCGTTTACGCCTTGCTAGAAAATTCAGTCGCGACTTTGCTTTCGAAAGTTATCTGCGTTGATGATAATCAGAAGACGAAGCTCGAGGCAGTGGAAATAATTGCAGGTGACTTTTTCTTCCCTTTGATAATAAAGTGTTGTGCTCCTCAGCCACAATGGGAGAGATCAGAGAGGCATCACGTTCTCACGCTAATGGGCCGAGGCGTCCTGTCTGTCCGTGACGACACATATCTTTTGACAGGGCTATCAGCTGGTCCACGAAACGCGGCTGGCTGGAGCGGGGAAATTGAGACGTCAGACAATCCCTGCCGGGCTGTCGGGGGCGAGTCAAATCCCGTTGTCCGGTTGTCTGACCGGGATTTACCTCCTCCTCGGGTTGTCTGGCCGGTAATTACCTCCTTCTCGGGTTGTCTGAGGAGTACTTAACCTTACCTCCTCCTCGGGTTATCTGACCGGTGCTTACCTCCTTCTCGGGTTGTCTGACTTTTACTTACCTCCTTCTCGGGTTGTCTAGACGGAGGGTTGCGCACGTAGATCAGTAGCGGCGCGTAGAGCAGCGTGATGAACGCTATGCCGTACAACATCCAGCTGAATCCGATCGATTTGACCAGTGTGCCGCTCAACGCCGGCCCTGGGGACGCACACTGGGTTAATTGGGGGCGCACATCGGGTTAATTGGGGCGCACACCGGGTTAAATCGGAGTACACCGAGCATAATAAACAGGCGACAACTGGGTCAGACGCCAACTGGCCCCGGCCCAAGGGGCTCAACAAATTGGAGCAATACATGCGTGCCGTTTGGCATGTAGTGGGATTTGTCAACAGCAACGTCGACAGGGCATTTTATTTCGACTGGGACTTAATAATTTAGCCGCTAGGTTGTACCAATGCCCAATTCTCATATGGTCTCTGTAAACATGGCAATGTTGAACAGGTTCTCGTAATTACTTATATATAATAGCTTCCCAGGATTCATTTCAACAGATTCATTTCAATCCGTGTTGCAGTTGTCCTCTCGTCTCCTCCCCGGCCACTGACCCATACAAACTCCTCCCAGCCGTCCCTCCCCTCCTCCCCACCGACTGAACCACACAGACTCCTCCCACCTCCCTCCCCCTCTCCTCACGCTGCTCCTCCCCTCTCCTCCCCTCGCCGACTGACCGGCATGGCTCCTCCCAACTGTCCCTCCCCCTCCTCCCCAGTTCCCTCTCCTCCCCTCGCCGACTGACCGACTGCGAAGCCGAGGCAGAAGGCGACGTCGCCGATGCTGTAGACGCTGCCGTAGACCGCCGCGTGCCGGATGTCGACCAGGTAGCCCAGCTGCGGCATCATGCTCGAGTCCACCATGCCGATGGCGAACCCCAGGCCGGCGTTGGGCGCGATCAGGTGGTTGATGCTGACTGCCAGTGGGATCTGCCGGTGTCCGGTGAAACGGTCAGATGTTAGATTCTCAGTAACGGCGGAACTCCTTCAATTAAGGGGGGGGGGACTGCCGACTTTTGGTCTCATTCTTTCCTTGCAACGCCCATAGGGCTAATGTTTAAATGCCAAAATCAAAGGGGGCACGGTGCCCCGGTGCCTTCCCCGTTCCGCCGCCTATGTTCTGAGATATGCGGCAGGATGGTCAGCTGTGCTGGCCAAAATCTGCGTGTGGAAGGAGGGTTGCATGCTAGAGACTTTGGCACTTGCGGCAATAGGGTCAGCCGCTGCATACGGGGCTCTGGTACAGGGAGGTCTCAAACTGTGCTCTCGGCATATTCGGGAGGACCAGATGCAAGGCCCTGAGGAATCTGTTGTGAAGCGACAATCACATGTTTGTGGCTCTGTGACAATCATACTGAAGTCATTTGCTATCTGCGGCTGAGGGATCTCTTGAGGTACACTGTACTCACACACATAAGGCAGATGGCTACGGTGAGATTCCTTCGAGGTACCTGGTACACTTACACACATGAGGCAGACGGCTATGATGACGAGGCCGACCAGCGAGGCCAGCCAGCGGCCGACGCGGTGTCCGAGCGGTCCGAACAGGTTCGTGCCGATCAGGTACGAGATGGACGCCGGCAGGAAGATGGCGCCCAGCTGCCACTTGTCTGCCTTCATCGTGTCCATCATGTAGATGGGCAGCGACGGCTCCAGCATCGCGATGCCCGTGTTGGCGATGGTGATGGCGCCTGCTCGGGAAACAGATGTCAGTGAAAAGAGCTATATCCAAAGGTTGGGACTTTTCAATAGAGACAATCACTATTCTTAACCCGCGCACCGACGGGGGTCTGCGCCAACTTAGTACCGACGGGGGGGGGGGGGGCGGATGACCGCCCCCCCTGAGATCTCGAGAACGAAGCAAGATAGCGACAAGCGGTAAACGGCATCGGATACGCACGGTCAAGATCTACAATTTTTACAAAGGTCATTTTCAGGTCAGGTCAAAGATGACGTCACAGGGGTCGAAAAAGTCAAAATGGCGGCGCTGAATATGGAGAGAGTTTTTCTCGAATAACTTTCGAATTAGTCAAGATAGGAACAAACTAAGGGCATCATCGTGATCCTCTCGTCAATCCGCATCGAATGATATATATGTTGACCTCGAAAGGTCAAGGTCAAAGGTTGACCTCAGGTCACGTGACCTCGAGGTCATCATGTATATCATTCGATGCGTCTTGACGAGCTGAACACAATGAGACCATCCACGCGTCTGTATCTTGTTCCTGTACGGAGTTATTGGCCAAAAAGCTTTGGTGACCTTTGATGACGTCACATGACCTCACAGCTGCCCAACAGCAAAACAGACCTCAAGGTAGTGAAGGTTGATCGTATATGAAGTCATGTATGGTATATGGGGCCATTCCGACCCGTTTTAGTGGTAAAAACAGGGAGTTGATTTTTCCCCCATTGACTTATAATGGGGAGGTCGCGAAATTGACCTGACCTTAGGTCACCGATATCAAAATTCCGAGATATACAAATTGTAGCTACTAATGACCTAATAACATCCTGCGACTTTCAAAGGCCTCCGACATCTACTGTAGCTCTGGCACGGTGACAAAGTTGCAAAAAAGTGACTTGAGGTTGGGTCATTCAAAGTGACCTGGTGACCTGACCTTGAAAGGTAGGAGGTTCAAACTTGCACACCATGTGTAAAATTGATAAGGGAATAGTCATACCAAATTTCGCGGCGCTACGCGCCGCGGTTTTCCCGCAATTCGCGAAAAACCTCAGGGGGGCGGATATCCGCCCCCCCCCCGTCGGTGCGCGGGTTAAGAATTGTGACTTTCTATTGAAAATCCCAACCTTACAAGGTCTAGTGTGTTTGAGCTAGCTGTCCCAGTCGTAGGACTACGGGGCACATTGGTGATTCCAACTTCGCGTGATAGGTGACAAGAGATAAACACCGAAGTAAATAATACAAGCCGGACTGGCAGAATATCGCAGAAAGAAACCCCCTCCAATTTACTTTTAATTTGATTCGACAATCTTTCCGTAAAAATTTCAAAGTTAGGTACCTAAAAAACCCTCACCACTTTTCACCTAAACTTCCCAGGCTTCACTGGGATAAAAGAACATGCTCAAGATGCGCATTTCCTACGCACCGGCACATATGATGATGTACGGGTCCTGGATGAGCTGCTTCAGGGAGGGCGCCTCCTCAGGCCGTTTCCGGATTCCAGGCTGCAATATCAGCAGCTGCAGCACTGAAACGAGACGCGGAAACACGAGTTAGAGACGATGGGGTCTCCCATTCACGCGACAAGGACAACTCGGCGCGGCACTGACTGATAAAGCATACGAGAAACTAGACTACGATTTATTGCACAACACCTGGA